GTGTTGATTTCAGCCGCTTACAACTTGCAGGATGTCAAAGTGATGGGAATTTGGTGGTTTGTTTCAGCTCTTGGGAGTTCAGAAATGCTTCGCTTTATCTGGATTCGTTCTCTCATAATATTTCATCCCTTGAATGTGAAGGGGGGAGAGAATAGAGAGAGAGACACAGAACACAACCACCCAAAACAGCTACACAAAGCCCCGGGCGGCATTGCAGCTGCAATCCACGGCTCTTCCCAGCCCAGGGCGGCAGAGGAAGGCTTTGCCAAGGCCTCCCAGCCAAGAAATCCTCAGGCAAAGTTGAGGTCACGGATGAGTCACTTGCAAAGCCCAACAGTAAACAAACGGCCTTGCAAGAAACACGGTATTCCAGCAACCTGATTTCTCGTCTAGTCCTTCCTTTGAGATACAATTCCTTCAGCATCAACCGGTTCTGCCCTTTTCTCCCAGGAGCAAGAGGGGCTCCCTCTCTCTCTCTCGTTTACTTTGCCCTCCTTTGCCCTTGTTGGTAAGGTTGGTCTTCTTTGGGCACAGACAGACAGGCACGGGAAACCCAGCCCACCAGCCTTGGTCTGCTCTTCGAGGAAAATCCCGCCCCCCCCCTTTCCTTCCCCTTTTCTTTATCCCCAAGGACAGAATGCTCAAAAATAGGGTCAGCATTCTTGGCATTTTAACTTTTTAAAATCAATTTGACCTTTGAGATATGGAGCATCTATCTCTACTCCTAATAGCTTGATTCTACCAATACCTATTGTCTACCAATCTCTTCTCTTGAAGGCAATTAGTCAATCGTTCAATCAACCAAAAGGAACAGAAGCCCATAAATTGCAGGAGTGTGAGATGATTCCAAAGGGCTTCTATGTGAGGATAGGGCTGGGATTCCAACAATTGAATGGTGCTGCATTTGAGGTGTCGCTCCTCAGAAGAGAAATATATTTGAGCATCTGGTGAGTACATCCACTTAAAGAGGGAGAGAAATGCTGAAAGGAAACCATCTGTAGAAAATGCACCAGTTTGACATTTTAAGAGGGGATTCTGCCTGAAGGAAAATTAATGCTAAACAACTTCCCAGAATATGCGGAAACTTCTGAGAACGCTAAAAATGAGGCGTGATGCAAATCTGCAGTTTCTGAGAAGTCCGTTAGATGATTTTAATACCTGCCAATATGAAACTGTCAGGAGGGAGGGAGGGAGGGAACGGCCTTGGGATCCAAATGGAGGAAGATGACCCCTGCACGGCAGATGCGCTCAAGTACACAGGCAGGAAAAGATGAGAAGCAGATCAGGCACATTCCAGAGGAAATAACTCACCAAGAGACAACAAAGCTGAGGCACAAGATATTTTTGGAACTGTATTGGCTCTGAAGTGCGCTATGAAGGGATCCATTAGGAGCTTGGGGCAGTCGTTAGCTTAATCAAAGAGAGAGGCAGATTTGCTGAATTGGACATGGATTGTAGCCCCCGCTGCCTTTATTAGCAGGTCATGGAAGTGGGGAGGGAAGACTTTCGTGAGGGCAAAGGAAGCCCCGACTCTGTGGCTGAGGGAGAGAAGGAACAATCAAAGCGATGTTTTGTTTGGATGCCTGTTTTATGTCAGCGAAAGAGAAGTTAAAGGAGAGCATTGTTCTGCCACAGATGGAAATGGGCTGCAAGGAAAAGAAGAAGCTCAAAAGTGGCCCGTTTTACATAATCGTGGAAGTCTTCCAGTCCAACCCCCCCCACCCCCCACCCCAAGGCGGCGTTTCCAAGGCACCCCAAACAAATGGCTGTCCAGTCTTCGCTTGAGTCCCCCAGGGCTGTCCCAGAGCTCAAGGTCAGGGAACGGCTCCTCAGGCTGGAGCCCTAAGACTTCTGTCCCTGCCCTGCCCTCAGCCCCCCACTCCCCCCCCCCCGGATAAAACCCCACCACCCTCTTTGGGATGGCTCTGGCCAAAAGCAGGATCATGCCTGCCACCCCTGAGCTGCGTCTTCTTTAGGCTAAACATCACCGCTTCCTCTAGTAATTTTTAATAGAATGGTCGAAACCGTCACCCTCCTCGTGGCTCTTCTCTGCACACCTTCCTTCTTCCTTGACGTGGCAACCAGAACTGGACGTCGCGTTCCAGGTGCGGCTTCACCAGTGGAGCCTTCAGGAGAACGTTTACTTCCTGCCATCTGACCAGGACAAACCTCTGATTTTGGGGGAACGCTCTTGCTCTCTGCTGGTTCATACTGGGAATGCACAGATCTTTCTTACAGGGGCTACTATTAGGCCTGGTGTCATGGCCACCTCAGCACCCAGTTTGGAGGAGGAGGAATTGGAATTGGGACCATCAGCTTTCTTTCTACCCCATTTCCCCAAAAATGCAACCTACCCTGAAAGTAAGCCCTTGCTTGATTTTTACACGTGCACCCAATATAAGCCCTACCCCCCAAAATAAGCCCTAATTAAGATCCCACCCACTTCAGAGTCCACAGGTAAAAATTAAGCTAGGGTGGGGATGGGGGGGTGGGGTGGAGCTGCCCTACTACTTACCTTTGGACAGGTGTAGCCAGGCCTCGCACACCCCGACACCTGCCTTGCCGGCCCATTTCTTCTGCAGCTGGCAAGGCTGGCCAGGCTTTCCTGAAGGCCTCTGGAGCTGATCGATCCAGAGCTCTCTTATCGGCTGCAGAGGCCTTCGGGAAAGCCTTGCCGGCCACAGAAGAAGGAAATCTTGAAGGCCTCTGACAGCGAAAAGGAGGCCAAGGGAGACACACTCAAGTGGGGTTAGTCAGTGGATGACATCCCCCCAAAATAAAACCTGGTGCCATTTTTGGTGGCAAAAATATATATATAAGACAGGGTCTTATTTTTGGTGAAAGACGATACTACCAGGGCTGTGTTTGGAAGACTGAGGGTGCAAGCAAGCAAGGCATTTGACAAAGTAGACCACAACCAACTTCTTGGTAAGAGAGAACAATATGGGATAGACAATATCACTACCAGATGGATTACAATTGACCTCCCAACTGCCCTCAGTGTATAGTTCCCCCAGTGGAATTACATCTAAATGGCCCTTAGAGGATTGGCAGTCCGGCCTGCTTGGACCCGAGTACTGTGCCGCCTCCTTACAGACTCCTGGCTCCCACTCAGTGCCTCCTGCCTAATTCTCCTCCTCAGCCGGTTCTGGCATCTGGTTTCCCGTTTATGATGCCTTTCAGACTTGTGGTTTGGATTAACAAACTGAATTCTGATAGTGATCTAAGAGATTTTCCCCTTTCCCCTCTTCCACACGGGCCATTCTCTGGGCTTGCTTGGAAAGAAATGCGTCTGCTTTGATTTTTCAATTCTGGGGAACTGGAGGCCGCCTCGTTCTTCCCTCGTCCACAGGGAAGCGAGCGTGACAGGCATCAAGGCACCAGCTGCTGCTTCCACGAAACATGGGCCCTGCTGCACATTCTGGGGAGAACTGCCTCTGTCCACTGCTAACACAAAATGGATCCAAGGCGGAGACCCCAGAAACTAATAATTCGTTCAAAATTAGGCCTCAAAGGGCCCTCACCAGTGAACTGCAGAGCCAGGGAGGTTTGGGGTATTTCTAATCACAGTGAGACAGAGGTGGGATTCAGCTGGTTCTGACCGGTTCTGGAGAACCGGTAGTGGACATTTTGAACCAGCAGATCCCACCTCTGACTGGCCCTGCCCACCCCATCTCTTCTCGGCCTCCCATCGAGTCCCGGCTGATCGGCTGGGTCTCCTTTGGTTGCCCTGCTCAGGAGAACCGAGCTGGAAAGCAGGTGGGGGGGGGGGGGGGGGGGAAGGGGGATCTTGCAGCATCCTTCCCCTGCCACGCCCACCAAGCCACGCCCACAAAACCAGGAGTAAAAAAATGGAATCCCAGCACTGCGTGGAAGGCATCAGGGTCCCTTTTGGTGAGCTCAGAGGTGTGTGTGTACGGGGGCGGGGGGAGCTAAATCGATCTGAGTCATAAGCCCACTTCCATCCTTAGGGCTGCGGTCAGTTTGGACCGGCCCTTTGTTGCCGATGGCACAGGATGGAAAAAACATGAACTAGGAAAAAAGAGGGTAGCTTCCTTTCTCCCAAAGAGGGTCTTTGCCGCTTGAATGGCTGGGAATTTCTTTTCTGTTTTGACCAGGGAGGTTTCCTTAGCATTTGGCGAGAGAAGGGGCTCCTAGGACTGGCTGCTGAAGCGCACCAACCAGACCAGTGGGGCCCATGGAGCAAACCAGCCTCCCCCCCCCCCCGCCAGCCAGCCCTTCCCCTCGCCCACTCGGTGCCAGCACAACTTTGCTGCAACTGAAAGAGAGCCGGTCAGAGCCTGTTCTTTGGGCTTCTTCCCAGCCTCCTCTCCTTGGTCGGATCTGCTCGCCTGGAGGAGGTTAGATTTTAAATGGCGAACCTGAACGGAGGCTGGGGGGTTTCAAAGGGCAAGGGTCTCCAATCTGGGGAGACTTTAACACTCCCAGAATTCCTGTATCCGGACATGCAGCTAAGGGAAGCCGACAGTCTCTTCTTGGAGACCATCAACTACCATTCCTCTCATCTGACTGTTGGGAAGTAGTTCAACTGGAGGTGTCCTCTTTCCTGTAGATCAGGGGTCTCCAACCTTGGCCACTTTAAGACTTGTGGACTTCAACTCCACAAACACAGAGGTCTCCAAACTTGGGAGTTGAAGTCCACAAGTCTTAAAGTGGCCAAGGTTGGAGACCCCTGCCCTGTGGGATTATGAGACTCTCTCAGCTCACCCCTCCCTGAGCTGGCCCCATGCCGCTCCGTCAGAGACTCCGCTGTTCCCCACCGAGGATGCCGCCTACGGCTGGGAGTGAACATCACCGGACACCTGGCTGGTTTTCTCAATAAGCGTTTATTGAGTTATCCACAAAGTGGCCCTCTGCTCTTCCATGGACCGATCCTTCGCTGGCCACAGGGCTGTTCAGGGCTCGCTGCTGCACTTAAGCTTTAGAAAACTAAACTTTTATCATATTCATATTTCATCTTTTGTTCTTATTCTTATGACTTTTGGGGGGGGGGGAAACAACATGGAAGGAAGGAGGAGAAACATCAATCGACAATGTCTGGTGGGTTCATGGCTGCCCTCCATGGGGGCTTCCACCCGAGGGGGCAGGACAGTTACTATCCCACAGAGCGGTGCCATCATTTTATCGGAGATTAAAAACCTAGAAAAGAGGATGAAGAGGTGGAGAAGCGGAAGGATCAGGGGAAGTAGAAACTCCGTCGGACCAGGGCAGGGCGGTATTCCTTGTTCCATGCGGCACAGCTCTGTACGCGCTCCAGCCAGCCAGTCCCAGCCCTCCAATCGCCTGCTTACGGGAGGCTGCCTTTAGCTGTCGAAGCACCTCGCTCCCTGTCCATTTTCCTAAGATGAAGTTCGGACACTTCTGAGTATCCTCTGCGCTGAAGGGAAGCCAGGCCTGTTTTGGAGCGTTTCCAAGCAGCAAAAAACGGTTTGGGGGGTGACCTGGGGGCGGGGAATGGCTGCCCCTCGCCTTGCAGAGCGAAAGCAGGGCAACGCGAGGCCAAGCCTCTCCACAAGGCCTCCAGCTCCACTGAACTGCCCAGCTGATACCTTGGATCCCTTGCAAACCCCGTTGGTAAAGTTCAGCCTGCGTTTGGGATCCTTGGGAAGAGACGGGCCTGCATTCCCAGGCCTGGCCGGTCTTTCCTAAGGGCCTCCACACTGACACAACGGAGAGCGTCTCGCGGGGGCCTCTACAAGAGCTGTGGCGCCTCCTTGGAGGCAGCGGCCAAGGGGAAGTTCTGGGTGGCCTACAGGTGGAGGGGGGGTTGCACGGGCCCCTCCCTCCCTCCCGCCTCCCGGCAAGCCTTGTTCCATGTCCCTCCTACATGGCCGTTTTTGCAAGGAAGACGAGCAGAGCAGAGACGGTCCCCGTGGAGGAAAGTTGGCTGCCTGATCCTTTGGGGTCCACCAAACTCTTCTGCTCTGGCACAAGAGCGGTGGTCAGTGATTTCTGCAAGATAAAATAAATAAATAAATAGCTTCAGCCCCAGGACAAGCTTTCTTCCAGCGACGGAGGTGGTGCCCTTCAGAGTTTGGTTGGCTTTCATGCTTTTGTGCAAGGCTGGCCTAGGAGGGAGCAGGAGAAGCCCTGCGCCAAAACTAACCTGGACCATGAATTCCCAGAGCATCCTTTGCTCTGCCATTATCCTACCTTTTAGGAAAGACCATTTATTTGTTTGTTTACTTATTATTGCCTTTATTATTGGTATCATTAGAGAAGGAATGGCAAAACCCGAGGGTGGAGTAAAAAGGGGATTCAGCCTAGAATCCCTACCGAGCCACAAGCAAACTAGGCCCAACCCTCTTTGAAGGCCCAGGACCGGACTCTAACCAAGTGCTGGCTGCTAATTGAGAAGATACCTGGGCATAAATCGGTGAAATTGGACCTTCAAGTGCAGACCTGGCCTTCTGCATCCGATACTAAAGCTCCCTCCTTCTCCTGTTTTCCCCACAACAACAAATCCTCCATGGGTTGGCCTTGCAGGTACAAGAGGCTCAAGATACATGCAGATGCTTTCTTGTATCTGGAGCCAGGTTTAATTTCCGGCAGGGTCACCTGCTAAAAGACCCCCCAGAAACAGAGCTATTGTCTGCCAGCCAGAAGACCCTGGATGGAGAGTGTTTAAGGCTGCCTCCATGCCACCAGCAGAAGAACACAACGGTGGCCTTTTCCAAAGAGAGAGGAGATAGTTGCGTGGAGGCTGTGCGCTCAGGGTGTGATTTGCTGAAGCCATGATACTTGAGAGTTCCATTAGGCAATGGCCTGGATATAGCCAAGAGCTGAGGGCACCTGGCATGATGGCGATGTGGCCTCCTCTGACCGTGGACCATCAGCCAAGGTCCACTCTCAGTTGTGCCTCTCTCCTTCACGGGATTTGGGAGTCCTCACCTAAAGGACAGCGGTGAAAGGGGTTGCAGGGACCAGGCATCAGTTTCCTGTCTGCCACTTACCTCTGAGAAGCAAAGACTCTGCTCTTTGGACTGGTTCACCTTGGCCCCACTTTCCTGTGGAGACAGAAGAAGAAGAAGAAGATGACCCACGTTGAGGAGGAGGAGTCCAAGTGGGACAGTTCCTTCCCTCTGGAAACAGTCCTCACTTACAGGGGTCGGTGGAAAGAAAACAACACAAAGCTTGTTCTGACATCCTAGTGTACCGAAGGGCACCAACGCAGGCAGCGGATCCAACTCACACCCAGAAACGGGAGCAGAATTTCTACCATGAATCTTGGTGCTGGCAAAGCAGTTGCCAAGCCTCAGAATTGCAATCAGGGGACCATGGGGTGTGTGTGTGTGTGTGTGTGTGTGCAACAGTTGTAAGTGCGAGCACAGATCCTAACTTTTTCCCAGGCTCTTGTAAGTTGGAATGGTTTTTAAATGAAAGTGTATCCCTTGAAGACTACCTGTATTTTTTCCTACTTATAACAGCAACTATCCCCAGATCTCAGCCCACTCCATGCTGCACAGCCAGTTCTGGGTGGGTTTTTTTTTAACTTCGATGGGAAACTAAAAATGGAAAGCGGAGACGGTGATTGCAGCAAAGAGCAAGGAATCCGTGAGCAGATCAGCTCCTTGGAACCCCTCCAGGTAAGGACAGCATGCGAGATTGCCCTCCGCATTCTTCAGCTGCTTTGGAATGAGGACTTCGCCAGAAATGCATCCACAAACACCCAGAGTGAGGTTTAGGTCTGGGCCAGGGAGCCTGTCACTCCAAGCCCCTTTTGTCCCAGGTAGAAGCTCCCCTGCCGCGTCGCCCAGACCTCCGGGAGAGCTCCCAACGCCGTACCTGGGTGGAGGAGGTGCAGGGGAGGCTGTCATTCACGCTGCACGGCAGAGAGGCAGCCCTTCCAGTCGAGGGAGGCAGCGTGAGGAGCGGCGGCGGGAGGGCCTTGGGTGAGAAGGTCAGGTCAGTGCCGTTGCCAAAGGCCTGGATGGCATTTCCTGGGGGGGGGGGGAGGAGGAGGGAGAGGAGGGAGTTGTGAAAGGGCCTCTCGGCAAACCAGACCGGACCGGGCCTTGTTTCTTCCGCCACTAGCACCCCTGGCCCAAGCGCTCAAGCCCACCCCTGCCCAGGGCCCTCGGAAGGCCATTCTGCCCTGCGGTGGGCACTGGGGAGCAGAGCTCTGTGCCTTCCACAGGCGTCCAGAGCTCTTCTGCCAACGGATCTGCCAGCCCCCCCCCAAAGAGGACCCCGGGGGCCACGGCTGGGAACAGGCAGGGCACCGACAGCCCCAGGAACTGGTGCCAGCCTCAGACGGAGCGTTGGGGGAGGGACCTTCCTCCCCAAGCCAAGGAGCCGTGGCTGACCCACAGAAGGACCTGGAATGGCGGACCCCCCCCGCCCCCCCTCCCACCTGGGGGAAGCGCTGCTTCCAATGGGCCCCGGGATCGAGGGGAAGCTTACGGAGACAGGCGTTTTCCGTGAAGTCCTTCAGGAATTTCTCACACTCCTCCTCCATGTTGCCACTCCCTTGGCAGGAGCACCACAGGGAGATCAACGGGTTGCTAAAGCTCGCATCCACATAGTTGGGGGTCAGGTCCAAACCTGTTGCAAAGGAGGAATGAGGGTGTTGTGGTTAGCCGGCAGCAGGTGCAGGTGACTGAGGAGAGCGAGGACTCTGATGAGGGGCCAGGACCATTAGGGAGTGGACTGCTGCCTTCAGGGATTTGGGGGGCTGGCAGCAGTGGGGAGGAGCTTCCCGAAGAGCCTGGGCCAAGTGCGCGTGAGCGCAGGGTGAGCCGTAGAAGAGAACAGCTGGGGCAGCACAGACGACTCGGGAGTAAGGCTGCAAGGTAAAGGCCCCTCCCTCGAGAGGATAAAAGCCAGGTTTGGGAAAGCGTTCTTGGCAGACAGTAAAGAAGCTTTGAAACTCATCTGGTGGACATCTTAGTTTGTATTTGGAGAATCTTGTAAATCAGTTCTTATCTCTGGGTTTTTGGCAGCCTTGACCAACAACTTGGCGAGGCTTTTTCTTGTTGGAGCTAATTGTTGGAAAGCAGCCTTTGATCAGTAAAGGAACAGCATTTGTGATTCAACCTTGAAAGGTGGGGGCTGCTGCCTTTCTCTGTGTTTGCTCTCTGGGAGCCCGGTTGGGTCAGAACAGGAGGGTCTCCGGGGCGCAGAAGCCCCCCGAGGGGAACTTTTGAGGAAGGCTATGGAGGGAGGGTCTCCCAGGAGAATCCTCTGCACAGGGACGCTCTTGGCACCCAGCTCAGCCCCCCACCCCGGTATCTTTGGCACCCTCCCTTGGCCATATCACCCCCTCTTCATTGCCCCTCAGGCGAACCACAAGCTCGACGTCTCTACGGAAAACTCCCAAAGAACGTGTGGTTGCTAAATTTACTTTGGGTTAGAATGGGAGTAAGTTAATGAAAGGTAAGCCTGCAGCAATTTTATAATTCCTATTCTTCTTCTGCTCCTTCTCACTTTAGATAATAAGTGGCTAAAGGCTACATCCACACATTTATATTACTAACATCTTTATTTTTAGTGTAGAACAAAAGTCTTATTTTAGGAGCAGATGGTATAATAGCATACATTTTATATATATATATATATGAGTCCAATGTTTGCATAATTTACTTTAATTCATAGCTCTTAATTCATACTTCAGTATTACTGTTCCTTACTTCTGTTTATGTCTTTCTCTGTTGGTGGGAGATTGCAATAAAAACTTGTCAAAGAGAAGAGAAGGAAGGGAAAATAAAAGGGACCCAGACAGGACATTTAAGCTGGACATAATCATCACGAAGGGGAATCGGGAAATAGTGGTTCATCCCACTGGGACCTTCGACAGACCAGGGCAGCTGAATGCACCCAGAGGCCTTGGATGACTCAGCCAGAACAATTGGGGGGGAGGGGGGCTCTGAGAGATGCTGGCCAATGATGGGGAGAAGAAAGAGCCCCTTGCTCTGCTCCAGACCTCTCCCCGTCCCAGAGAGGAGCCCGAACGCACAACGGAACCAGCCTCAGAGGAAGGAGAAATGTGGCCAATGCTGCTCCCACTCCCGGCCCTCCACAATGGCGCAAGGATCCCAGAATTGATGGGACTGGGGGCCTCCAAGAGATCAGAGTGTCCCTCGACTCACTGACAAGCAAAACGGAACCTCTCTCAGCCCTGCATCTCCGTCCGGCTGTCTTCTCGGAAACCTTCCCTTAAAGGGGAGGACTGGCCAAGCTGGCTGGATAGCCACTTCCTTACTTGACCCTCTTCTCCTGGTCGGTCAGACTTACCGATCAGGCCAGTGTAGGAGTCCAGGCAGGCCTGGTAGTTGTCCCTGGAGCAGCTGGTGAGGAAGGCTTGGCAGTTGGTGTGGAAATCGGCCAGTCTTGACCTGCTTACAGGAGAGCCAATCAGAATGACCGGAAAGGGGGCGCTGACAATGCCTGCCTCTTGGCCCTGGGTTGGGGAGAAGTCGGGGACTTGGAAAATCACCCCACCCCACCCCCCCGCTTCGTTGCACTTTTAAAACCCCATTTCCTTCTTCCCACCCGGGAGTGGGAATGGTTTCTGCACCCACAATCTCCTTGTGGGGAAAGGGGTCCAGGGAGCCCTGAGAGCTTTGGGGGTCCCTGCACTGGAAATCTATGCCGGAGCTTCTAAACTCCCTGGCCAGGCTGGGGGTGGAGGAGCCCCTCCCTGAGGCACTGATTTGCCCCGAGACAGCAGCCTGCAGTGACCCAGGAAGCCGTGGATGAAACCCGTTTCTGGGTGCCACCAAGGCCGCCTCTGACTGGCGTTTTTCTGGGTTAAAAGGGAGCCTGGTTTGTGCGAGGTAGCAGCACAATGCCCCCCCACCCCCCAAAAGGTATTAAATTAAAAATAAATAAATAATAATGCGTCAAGTCCTGACTTTGGACAATTCTAGATAAATACTACTTAGAATTATTTCTGTGCCCTCCTGCCTGAGTTCCAAAACAGGGTATATTTTGCCAAGTTTCCAACAGGAAGATGGATTAAATTATAAATGATTATTTGTCTAAAACCACAGACCATCACAAACTAAAGGATATATGGAATAAATCAACAGGGCTCCAGATGGAATGAGGAATGCTCTGTTACAAATTATATAATCCAATGCAGGACACCCCCACCTCCGTCCCGTTTATCGGACAGGCAGGTAGTTCAATGGGAGCAGCCTCTGCTTCCCCACTTCCACAGCTGGGACCGGGGGGGGGGGGGGGACGGACCCAAGTCGAAGGACCTGCCAGCTGCAATGAGCCTCCAAAACGACCAGCCTGAGGACCCCCACCCACCCAAGGCCAGCACTGCCCTTTTCACCCCGTCCAAGCCACGTGTTGCTTTGCCACTGGACCTCCCCAGAGAGGAAACCTTGGGCTGCCAGGCGCCCCACCCTCTGCGGCGGCCCCCTCGGGGTTGTGGAGGGGGCAGAGCCAAATTGGGGGGGGGGCGAGGCTTTGCAGGGAGGGGCCAAGGACACGGGGTGGAGACCAGCAAGGCCAAAGGGGAAAGGGGGAAAGGGGAGGCTGCATCCCTTTCATGGGCTAATCGGGAGAAGACAGGAATGAAAACAGACCCCAGGAATTCTCTCGGGAAGGGCAGCCTTTCAAAAATAAATGGGCCCATTTTCCTCTGTGATGAAACTCTCTTTGCCCTTTCAAGACTTTAAAGCGCCTGGTTTGCCTCAGACTCTAAGCGGTTCTGTTCATCGTGCGAGGAGCCTAACTTTGCCAAGCTTCATCTGCAGGAAGACAGACACACACACACACACACACACGCACTCAAATCGTCCCACATCTGGCTAAGATGGGGAGGCAGCGTTGCCTGGATGGCAGAATCTAAGCAGACAATGGAAGGAGGCGCCATTAGATCTTGCAATCAAGGGAAGAAAAACTGTCCTTGCTCAGAAAGGCAACTGTGAAAGTCTGAGAAAATAAGTCACGGGGAGAATTTAATGCAGACGAAGGATTGTTCTATGCAGGCTCTAGGATTAAAAATGGGCAAACACTGTGTTATTATGGGATTTATTTTGCTAGCTTCCAGTATATTAGTCTATCTATTTCCTTCACTTTAAGGATTTAAGTTTCGGTGGTCATTGACCGAATAAATATTATTTTATGCTTTTATAAGTGTGTGATTCAAGAGGACAAGGAGGCTGAGCCCTGCCTGTCGTACGGCTGGTTCCTGGCCTCAGCAACTTTGAAAATCCCTCTCTTACTGGCACTGCTGCGATTTGTTGCAATTTTATCTTTGTTGAAATATTTTAGCTTTAAAAGAAAAAAAAAAGATACACTGGGGCAACCTGACAATTGCTTTGATATATCTCATTTGGGAGGGATAATTGTGATAATTACTGCTAAAACTAGTCGTTGATTTAATTAGGTAGCATCCCTGGACTGTACGGAATCAGCAACCAGCAAATTACCCAAACTGGACTCCTTCCAGCCCCCCCAGCCCTGCCCTGGCTCTCTGCAGAGCGAGTCTTTATTAATTTAGAGGGCGCCCCCCCCCTTCCAGAAATCCAGAAGCAGCAACTGCAAGACTGCTGATCCAGCAGACAAGCCCTGCCTAATGAAGGGGGCCGGGGGGGGGGGGCAGGCGTTGTTCCTCCCCCAAGAGGCCGGCCTTCAGAGGCCTTCCAGGTAGCACCAGGGTGGGGACTGGGCAGCTCTCGGCCCAGCCTGGTGGGGGATGCTCGTAGTTGGCACTGAGCCAGTCTTTCATCCTTTAACAGGGAAGCCGTAGAGATCCTGAATAATTCATAAGTAATTAATACATCACCCTAAACAGAAGATCAGAGCAGGCGCCAACCGCCCCGCCCTGTTCCTAGCAGGCGGCCAAATGATCCTGTTGTGGACCCTTTCAAAGCTGAGAGGCAAACCCTCCACCAGAGCCTCCCCCACCAGGCTGGGCCGAGAGGTCAGTTTCTCACGTCCAGGGAGGGTCCCTCGCAGCAAACACCTCAACCTGCTCAAGCCCCCTGCAAGAGTGCCCCGCCTCCTTCCCCCCCCCACCCCCGCCAGCAGGCCTACCGGCACAAGGGCTCCGCCCGGCACTGGCTCCGCAGAGTCAGGCAGTTGGGCTTCTCCCTCTCCTGGTAGGAGCAGTCGGGGACGATGGTCTGCCGGCGGCGCTCTGCGCAGGCCTGGTCCTTGCAGGGGCAGAAGAGCAGCCGGTAGCTGTATGCACTGGGCACCTGGTCAAAGAAATGGCGCAGGGCTTTGCGGCACCTGCGCTGGCTGCAGTGCTCAGAGGCCGAGACCTCTTTGTTGCAGGTGGAGATGTAGGCCGACCGCAGCTTCTTGCAGTTGTTGTTCAGGTTGCAGGCTTTGGCCGCCTCCAGGCAGGGGTTGCTCCTGGAGGCGGCCGCGGAGTCGGTCCCTGCTGGGGAAAGAAGAGAGTCAGGGAAGGTGCAGGGGATGAGCCCGGACAGGCGCCCAGGCAGATGGACAGCCCTTCTCTAGCTAGCGGGGGTTGGGGGGCCGGGGAGGGCTTTGTGTCCCCCTCATGAAGGCGATCCTGCCTGGTTCAGGCCATCCAAACACTGGACTAGATTGCTTCCTATCAGATACATTTCATAACAATGACAATGAATCATGGGGGGAAATTAAAAAGATCTTGAAATGTGAAAAAAAAAACCTCTAAGGGTTTATTAGCTGGGCTAAGCAGTTGAAGACACTGAGCTTGTCAACTGGGAAGCCGGCAGCCCAAGTTCGAGACCCGAGTGCCATGTGACAGGGTGAGCTCCCGTTCCTCGCAGTTCGAAAGCATGCAAATGCGGGTAGATAAATAGGTACCACTTCAGTGGGAAGGTGACGGCCTTCTGTGCGCTTTTGGGGTTTACCCAACCTGGCTACATGACCATGGGAAATGTCTCGGTGCAACGCTGGCTCCCTCGGCCAAGAAAGAGAGATGAGAACCGTGCTCTCAAGTCAGACACGATTGGAGAAGGAAAAACGTTACCTTTCATTGCAACGGTAAAAATGGATACTATGCCCAAGATGAACTTTCTATGTCAAAGGCAACAATTCCAATTTCAGACAAAACCTTGCAGGGTTAGCAAAAGCGAATCAACTAATTCACATGGAACGGGGAAAAAGTGAGAGCAGGTTTTGAAGTGCTGCAAGATTTAAAAAAAATAATCTACTTTGCATTTTCTAACCTCTGATTGATTGATCATTCTGCCTGTCTTGGATAACAGAATAGATGAAATCTCCAAACAGAATATAACTCATAAAAGGAGTCAGTTTAGTCACTGGACTTCATAGGTATTTTTGGTATAAGGAAGCAAAAGAAAAATAATTTGAAAGGACACATTTTTAGACAAAACTCAATTAAAATGTGGAACATTTTAGAAACAAGAATAACTCCAGCGATTTCTCCATTAGCTTTGCCATCAAATTCCTTTTACTCTGAGGACAACTATAATAAGAAAGTTTATGTATGCCAGTGCATCCAGACTTAAAAAAAGACTAAATATTCAGCAAGAACTGCTCAGCTAACATGGTTAATGTCATTTTAAATTTGGTAGAAGAATAAGAAGTGATCTCAAGAAAAAAGGAGGGACTTAGAGAACAATGATAGAATTTACAACATTTATACAGAACCTAGACAGACAGACAGACAGACAATTAGAGCTCACATTGTTATTAAAATATAACACAGAACTAGTAGAAAATGTGTAACAATAAAGAGCATGCTGAACTTCAAGGAAATCACAATAGAAGTTACAGTTGTAGTATAACTTTGGGGTTAAATGTCTAACAGATGGGATATAACTCTGTCAATAATTACCAAATCATATAGCAATAAATTTTGGAAATGCCATAACTATCATACATGATGGTTATTTTTTAAAAAAACCCTCAAATGATTTGGAAAAGAAATACATCAAAGTATTCAAAAAATGCCTAAAAATAAATTTTGAACAGTAAGAAATTTTTATTAGTTATAATTATTAGTTGTGAAATTATATTACCATATGTATTAGTTATTATTCTAGAAAACATAAATAGCACAATTAAGATATAAGCCGCAAGTTATCAAAACAAACTGCTTAACTCATTATTTGCATGTGCCTTCACACAAATCTAGTTCCCAAATATTGACTATAATTAACCCCAGTCTGTTCAGGGTTGATTTAGTCTCGTCTCACATGCTGAAGTGACTTCCGGGCACCTCCAGGATTCAGGAAACCTGCAAAGGGCCACCGAAGGAACCAAAGACTGGAGTCAAAGGGGTCCAGTCACAGAAAGAGAATACCCCAAGCCTACCTCAAGAAGTGGAGACTGTAGGAAATAGAATATGAGAATAGAATATGACGAAGGAAGGCAAAGAAACACACAAATAGCATATGGTCTTTAGTTAGAGCAGAGGTCTCCAAACTTGGCAACTTTAAGACTTGTGGACTTCAACTCCCAGAATTCTCATAGCTGGGTTGAAGTCCACAAGTCTTAAAGTTGCCAAGTTTGGGGACCCCCTGAGTTAGATGAAAGTCATTTCCCATTGAACGTTCCTTTATTTGTAAGTATTTTCCCCTCACGAAACTGCAGGGTTTAGTCTAGGACCTGACAGCCTTCAGAACTTTGATGGATGGTTGCAGGAGAGCTTATGACCTGCTGTCGGGATTTCAGAAGACAAAAACTTTCAGGTTCAAAATTATTTGGATGTTGAGAAGAGGACTGAATAAACAAAATGAAGAATAATAGAAATAAAATGTAACAAGTTAAAAGAAATGCAAAAAAAATTCACTTTTGGAAAAACCAATTAGATACACACAATGGATTTGGTCATAATATTTGTGAACTAGGATATAGAACAAAATTAATTGTGGGTCAGCAGTGAGATCGTGCTGCTAGGAACTATGAAATCATTCCACTTTTTTTTCTGCATTATTCAAACCCTGCTGAGCACTGTGTTCATTTCTAAGCAAAATACTTCCGAAAGGATTTAGATGAGCTGGAACAAATTCAGAAAAGGAAGAAGGATGACTAGAATTGAAGACCTATGAGGAGAGAGCAAAGGACTTGGAAATGTTCTTCAAATACCCCCAAAGAGGCCACATAGAAGTTCCAAGGTCTGAAGAGCCCATGCTTCTTCAGAGAATAGGACACAGAATAACCTACAGGAAGGAGGGCACCTCCAACCGGACTACTTCCCAACAGTCAGATCAGAGGAATGGTAGAGTTGATAGTCTCCGAGAAGAGACTGCAGGCTTCCCTTCGCTGCATTTCCTGATACAGGAGTCGGGCAACCACCCGTTGAGGAGGATCTCATTTCGGTTCCCAGCACCGAAACCTTCTTGGTCTCAATGGCTCCTGGGATCCTACTATTAATTTCTCCTGAACTTCTCTGCTGTGTTCTTTGTTGATGTTTGTACTATACAAACTTCTAGCATCCTTTTGTAGAGTCGGTTGTAACCTTGTGCAATTCCAACCTCTTCAGATTCCCAATACTCTCCCAGGACTTATCAGGATGAATATCCCCTAATCTGCACCCACTTTAGCATTATCCTGAAAATAAAATAAAAAAAATCTAAAGAAAAATTCCAGATATGTTCCCAAGAAAAAGGAAATCTATCAGATTAGTTCATGCAGGGAAACTTTAAAAAAAAGAGACCAAGAAACGTACCATCCCCCAAAACTCCCCAGAAAGCACCCCCCCCCGGTGTGCCAGTCTCTCTTCCCACCTGGCCCCCGAGACTCCTGCTTCCCATCAGTGGATGAGGGATCCGGGTGCCACACAATGAATTAAGAGATGGCTCCTTTTTTCGCCACCTGCCTCACAAGGGCTGAGATCGAGGCAGGCTTTCCTTCCCCTTTCCAGCAGCCCAGAGGTCAGTCAGCAAAGAGTTTCTCCGTTTCTCTTTTGAATATTTGAGGGGAAAAAAACAGCATCTCTAACCTGCCCTGGAGTCAGAATTAGCCCCCTGACAACTAGGAAGGAGGCTGAGGGGGGAGTTTTTGAGAGGTAAATAAGTCGCTTTCCACATCTCTTCTGGATCCAACCTGGCTGATCTATTACGTCCCAACGCAGCTGCAAAAGTGACACTCCCCGTTAACATCTAGCATGGTTTCCTCCCCTAGGGAACCCCCACATTCTCAGTTCCCCCTTCCTGAAAACATGCTGTTGTTAAGCCCAGAATCCAACAGCTAAAGGCTTCTCAGTGTGGCACCCGTCCTATTTTCCACCAGCTAAATAGCTTAAGGATGGCAATTTAATTCCGAGTGGAAAAAGAAACCTATTGTCAACTGGAGTCTAAGCCTAGCATTTCTTGGAGAAGACTTCTGCAGATCCGTCTTCTAACATCAAGCCAGATGTCCCGTCCGTAGATAGAATTGCCACCCAGGGTCTCCCACCGAGGCCCCCACGGCCACCAGCCTCACAGAGGCCGGGCTCCACTGGCAGCAGTTCCAACCTGAAACACCACTGAGCGCTTCAAAATGAGAGAATAATCGTACCATTTATTTCTAATTCAAAATATTTATCTCCCACTGTTGAACTAAGACTTCTAGAACGTATTTTTAAAACGCTAAAGCAATTTGATAAAATAAAGCCCAGAGTCGCCCTCTAGGTGAGGGGGCAGCATATACATTTAATCAATAAGCAATAATTTTAAAAACAAAATGATTATGGCAAGGGCTAAATAAATAAATAAATAAAAACTGTCACACCAATGAAAAATAAAAGGGCACCCCAAAGATGGAAACGTGCCTATTAAACTTTCAACTACCAGCTTCTAAAGCCTCTCCAAAATAAAGCTTTACCTCCAAGTAACAGCAGTTTGCCAGCCAAAAACTCTGCCTGCAATGGGCCCCTGGTTATGCCGGGGCTGAGCCCCCCCCAGCTCCCCAATTTCTTCTGCTTTGGGACCAGATGGGGCCACACTGTAACTTGCCTTCCCCTCTCCGGTGCCGTTTCCGCTTGGAGCAATCTCCCAATCCAATGAACACTGGCTGGAATTGGGGCCCCGAGAAACAACAGGCCATGAAATGGTTCCCCCCGACCCACGGAGCTGGCTCAGAAGGAGGCTGTGCCTGATGGTGCTGAAAGTGTCCAGCACGAAATGAAGGCCCCCCCACAGGTCATCGCCAAGCCCAACGACAGCTGTCCCAGTCCTGAATCCCAGGCCCAAATGGGTCCAGTTAATCCAGAGGTCTCCAAACTTGTGGACTTCGACTCCCAGAATTCTCCAGCCAGCAAAGAAAGGCTAGCTGGAGAATTCTGGGAGTTGAAGTCCACAAGTCTTAAAGTTGCCAAGTTTGGGGACCCCTGAATTAATCCATTTCCTCCTGGATTCTCATCAACTGCAGACTGACCTCCCTCGTAAGAACTTTCCCCAAAGAGGAAAGGTTGGAAACTGCTCAACGGTTCCTGAAAGCGGGCCCCTGAGGTGGGGACACCCCATTACCCCTTCCAAGTTGGGGGCACCATCCCCTCCACCCGAGAGGCCGGTTCCCTTCCCCAGCTGCTTTCACCACCCAGAAGGGCTCCAGGCAGCCATGTTGACAGCCCTCGGGGTTCTTCCTCAGCCGCCACTCGCTCAAACTCACCCCAGGTCACTCCACCAGGTTGTAACCCAGGTGCCTCAGCCTGCTCTGCCCAATCAAGAGTAAATCCAAGCAACTTTGTCCTCCGGATCACCTGATTAATCTTCCCTTGTGGATGTTCGGGGTGGGGGGGGCTATCTAACAGAGACCCGGTCACCCCCACAGGGCTGCCGCTGGACAGCTATCAGCAGAGGCAATAGCAGCAGTGGGGCACCTGGAGGCCACAAACGTCCCCTTGAACGAGGCCCACTCTTGCTGAAGGAAGGGTTCAGAGCACAAAGGGGGCACCTAACTTTTTGGGGATCTACAGTCGTGTGAATTAGAGGGTGGGGAGAAACAGGTGGGTGAGGAAGCAGCTGCTCCCATTCTTTTCCCAAAGTACCTGAGACAATTGAAGCCAGCCTGAAGGCATCCGGGGGAGGAGATCTGAGGGGCTCGTAGGGCGAAGCTTCGTACAATTCTTCCCCTGGAGACAGAGGAGGGAAAAATCAGCCCCTGGACCAGCTGCAAGAGGCACCGGGGGGGGGGGGGCAGCCAGTGGGCGGGTAGAGGCGGCTCCTCTTAAGGGGGGAGGCCCAGCCCTTGAGCTGCGTATCCACTGAGGCCAGGCTGGGGGGCTGGGGGGGGGGGCTGGCCTGGACGCCCTTCTCAAAGCCTGCACCCCCCACTTCAGACCTTTGGGAATACAGCCCCCATCACCCCCAGCAACTGCGGTCAGTGGGAAGCCAAGAGCTGCCCTTGGGGGCTTCTCCCACCTGCCAGCCGATCACGCTTTCTGCCCAGGGCTGCTGGCGGCTCCCGCCAGGGATCTTTTCTACCCCAAAAGTCGGGGGTAGGGCTGGGACGTTTCCCACCGTGCAGCCCCTCTGGCTGGGCTTGCCCTTGCCACAGCAGCAGAGGAAGAGAGGGGCCCCCTCAGCCACCCCAGGCAAGCGCTGGGCCCCAGGACCCGAGACCTGAGCAAAGAGACGGGAGAGTCGCCTTCCTGTAGGCGGCTGGGATGGGGGCAGCTTAGGTGTTGCTGACCACCCAAGGGAGGCTGGGGGGGGGTAGCTTGAGGAGGAAGGCTCTCTGGGGGCAGGTGAGAAGTCACCCCTCAGCATCCCAAGGGGCCCTGACTGGTGGGGCAGACCTTCCCCTTCCTCATGGCCAGATCCAGCCTTGCAAGGCACACCCACCCTCCACTCCGGGGCCTGCCAGGACCGGTTGCTGCCCCAACATGACAGTGAGGGGGCTGGGGGAGACTGGAGGGGGGGGCTTTCTCATGCAACTCTGGTGAAATGAGGACAAAAGGAGCAGCTTCCCCAGCCGGGGCCTTCCCCGGGGCCAAGGGGCGTCCGGGACCAGCCACTCCATCTTCTCAGCACTGGCTCTGCCCAGGCGACGGATCCTGGGACGGGAAGGGGGGGCAGGAATTGAGCTTGACCTGCCTTGACCTGGGCCGAACGCTTCCCTCGAGCAGCAGGCAGGAGGGGGTCCTGGGCAGCACCTGGGCAGGGGGGCCCCCGAGGGCCTGGCTGGGAGGAGGGCCTCCCAGCTCAGCAGCAGCACCAGTCCTGGCCTTGTCTTTGGGCCATGGCGACTCCACAACTGCACAGCCCTCGCAGGGGGCATCCTCCAGCTCACCACGGGGGCAAGGCCCCCCACCCTACCCCGTCGTGTGTCCCCCCCCCCCCTCCAAAGCTCCCGGGAGACCCCAGCTCTGGGCTCACCCCCAGCCGAGCCCAGGTGGAGGCTCCAGTAGATTTGCAGGCAGGGCAGCTCCCTCTTCATCCGGCGCCTGCAGCGGCAGCCATGCAAAGCGCTCCCCTGCAGCACCTCCAGCGCCAGCCGGCACTCCTTGTTGCCCAGCAGGGTGTTGTGGTCTCGGCCGGCCAGGCACTGGCGTAGCGTGCGGAAACTGGAGCTGCAGCCAGGCTCAGACGCACAGAGCACGTTGGCGCGGACACAGTCCATGGGGCTCTGCCAGCCGTGCCCATCCGGGGTGGCTGGCAGGGACAGCCCAGCCCAGGCCTGCAGCACTCTGCCTGCAAAGACAGAACCAGCACGTCAGGATCGGGGCAGGTTCTCAGGGCAGCCGGGCAGTCTCCCTCCCCCCGAGGGGTCTCCTCCAGGACCTTCCCTCTGGCCCTGGTCCACAGCCGGGCAGGGAGGAGCCAGACCAGGACTCTGCAGGCCCCTCCCCACCTTCCCCCAGGTTCACCTCAGCCGCCCTCACTTTGGCCCAGAGGCTCCTGGAGAAGCGAAGGGTCCCCCAGCCGGAAGGGGCCGTGCTTTCCTGCCCACCCCCACCCTGGGACACCGCTTTCCTCCAGCCGCCTTCGACAGCCTTCCCAGGCCGGGGCTGCCGCAGTGAGCCAGACAACAGCTCATTCTTGGCCTGCGGTAGAGCAACCAGGCAGCCCCAGCAGTGGGTTGGAGGGGGCTCCTCCACGGGCACCAGGAAGGCTGGGCACAAAGGGCAATGGGAGCCCCCGGAGCCCAGACCCGGCCCCTCAGCTGCCTCCAGCCACGAGAGCCGGCCTTCTGCCGAGGGCGAGTCCCAAAGCTGCACGCGAAGCAACTCTGACCAGGGTGCGAAGCCTGGAGGCTGCCAGCTTGGCCCCCAAGGCCCATCCGAGGGCCACTCCAGAGGGGGACCACAAGGGGGCAACCCAGCGCGGGCTCTTGACGCCGGCCGGGGGAGCAAGAGGCGACAGGCAGCCAAGCCGGGGCATCCAAGGATGCGTCACCAGCAGGAGAGCTAAGGCAGCGCAGGAGGACCCCAAGCGCTGGATGGGCCTTTGGCCGTGGCAGAGAAGAGCTGGGGTCCCCTGAAAGGTGCCCCCACGGCGTCATCCCTACCCACCAGGAGCACAGGAGGGATCGCCTGTCCAAATCCTTGCCCAGAGCAGGAACCCAGGGCCAAGAGCCACCCAACAGCCCCTCTTTACTGCCAACGGAAAGCTCTCCTCTTCCCATGTCCAGCCGAGAGACCTCTTGCCCCTACGACAACCCCCCCCCC